TAATTTTCAATAAAACAAATGTATTTCATTATATTATATATTAAATATTGTTCCACTGAAATAAAGAAATTCTTTAATATTTTTCTCACATAGTATTACTTCTTTCGAATCATTTATTGCTTGTGACAACCATTGTAATGTTTAATGAAAGTACAAAGGAATATATTATTTTATGTAAAGGTATTTATATTGCTTGAGAAGCAATCCTGTTTATTGAATCAAACATTCGTTTGCTCCATTCCGAAAGACAAACTTGTTTCAATCGAAGAGATTTTATTAAAATAAAATAAAGTTTAACATAAAGACCCACACTAAATCTCGATTCGGGCCACGTTTTCGGATTTTTGTAGTTTCTACCTGTATTTCGCTTTCGATGTTGAGAGACCGGAAATATCGGCAATACGTCAAAGATCCGCGTGTCGGATTAAAATATGACTCGTGAGCCAATCATGGCACAGTGTACGTGGAAATCGCGACTGCCTTACCAAATACCTCCTTCATTCTATCTTTCTTTCTCTTTCTCGCTCTCTTATTCTCTTTCTCTTTCTTGATTATTTCTGGCCGACGGTCGTTATTTTCGGCCGTCCTCGTCACGACTCCGAATCGCGTGGCGACTATAATCGCCGTTTTTAAATCCATCTTACGCGCTACTCGTCTTCAACGCGATCCATCGCGCTGAGGCAGCAGTGAATCATCCGAGCGCGATGCATCCCCGGAAGTAAAACGCCTACATCGGTGTGACGAGGAAGATAGAAGGATAGGATCTTTGCTTTCATAAGCAGAGAGGCGTAAACGTGGGGAAATGATACATTCGTATTTTGTGAGTGCACGTTCAGCGCTGAATGCGCCGTCAAAGTATATACCTTGGAAGAGTATAAATAAATGTAGACAAAACTGTAGAATAAATAAATTTCGATGAAAGGATATATAAAAAGAAGGGATCGATGCAAAAGGCATTCCCGTGAATAAAATGGAATAAAAATATTGCGACGATATAAAAAATGGTAGCGATCAAATACGATCGGCTAGTGGTGGAAACCGCTCGTTGCTCAACTGTTCGGACTGTTCAGACACACGGAGCGTTCATCGATCTAATGGAGCTAATGGAGAGACACAGCTTTGTCTCGACGACGTCTACTACGTATAATCGGATACATCAATGCCATCTGATGCACTTATATTCAGCGATGAAATTCCCCGATTCTACGTACGTACGCTCGAAACGCATCGAAGACGCATGTACGCACACTCGTTTGAACAACGATTCGTACAGGTTTCCTCCGATGAAATTACACAGTGAAAAATAAAATATCAATTTAATATCTTAGAAATTTCACATTCTAAATTTTAAGTAAAAATAATTTATTTGTTGTGAATTAATTAATTAATTGCTGGTAAACTAAAAATGTTAATTAATTAACGCTCACACATATTCTCTTTATATTTATGCTTGTTGTTTTTACTTTAAATATAATATAAAAATAACAAAAAATTATAAAATAGACGAAAGAGTAGTTAAAATATTTTGTAAGAAATATTAATGAAAAAATACAAATTTTGTTTTCGTATAAAAATAACATAAAAATTAGTATATTTTAACTTCTTCCGTTATCTAATATATTAATATGTGAAATTACTTTTTGTATTTGTTATCAAATAGTCACATTTGGGAGCCATTCTGTTCACGAGCTTAGTAATCGTTTATAACATGAGCTAAAATAACAATGTAAATTTTAGTCCTTTATTATACTTTTATCTATCAGATAGCGTATAATAAAGATACGTTTCCTTTGAATTTTCCGTTGCGACGTCAGACATCTCGTACTGTCACTTCATGGAGAAAAATAATTTATAAAGACTTTAAATTTTATATTATTGTAGCAAATAAACAAGTAGAGTGTTTCTTAAGTATTGCCAAATATTTAATGAATTTATTTTTGAGGTCACTTTATTAAAAAAATTCATATAAACATGTTCATTGTTTCATAAAATAATCTCAAAAATTAACTCCTAAATTATTGGACGGTACTTAAGAAACACCAATGTATATTCACTCATTTGTTACAATAGCATAAAATTTATTATCTTTCTAAATTATTTTTCTCCGTCTTCGTTCGACTTCTGTCATAAGCGATTATTCGAAAAAGAGCGTGTACAAACGCGTATATATAGAATATGTCAGTCGTTAAGAAATAAATATAGACAACAAAGACGGGGAATACACGCGGCAGGATGAAGAGGACACTTTTATTCGGCACGAATGTTTGAGAATCGCAAAAGACGAGGCGGTGGAAATGCGCGTCAAGATGAAACATTTCGTCATCGCGTCGACGCGGTTTCACTGACCTCTTCGGAATCACTGTAGTATTCCTCCATCTTCGAGGCGAGAAGCGAACGTCAAGCGCCAAAATTCGATCGACACTATCGAATTACATAATTCGATTAATTACAGGACCTCAGGCGACGTCGCCGCGCGTCGAATTAAATTCTCTTCGCGATCCTCGAAGGCAGTAACACTGACCTCTCTCACGATGACTTTGCGATGACTGCTCACTTCTATTTACGACCACAGCGGACACGTGACTTAGTGGCCGACATCTTCCTCGAAAATTTGAATCGGGTTTCCTCGGCGTTAAAACAGCGGAAGCTGTTTCCATTTTTTTTATTTATCTGCAGAAAAGAAAACCGACAAGAACTCGCAAAAAGATTTAAAAACCCCGATTTTTCCAAGTCCTCAAAACTATATTTCTAACTTAATTTAATCTAAGAGATTATACAGTTTTATTTAAGTTTTAACTTTAAGTAATATTATAACATTTGCTATTTATTTCAATTATAGATTATATGGTAAAAGTGATTCACACAGCATGAATAAAAAATGTTAAGTAATATGCTGAATTGAACCACAGAAAGTTATGTACATGCACGCATGGGAACCAAAGTGACCTCTAGCGACCAAAATGAAAAAATAAAACAACTGCTGTTTATGGCTGAGATTCTCGAGTGTTATTGAAAATTCAATCGACAACCGATTCAACCAACATTAAGAGCATACACCAATCAGATTCACGAATTTTACGACAGTTGCAAAGCTGCTCTCTCTACTGAACGTAACTACTGACAATATTTCGCTAAATTTTAGATTAAGTGGTGGAGGGAAAGTATCGAAAGCGCCAATGTCGAAAACAAAAGCAAGAAACAAGAAAGCAAAGAAACATTGATTTGTTCATGCGTTATGTGGGTCAGTTTGACTGTTGTGCACCTATTTACAGGCTAAAAAAAATAAGCAGATTATACACAGAAAGATACTATTGTATCAATCGAATTGCGCCATGATTCGAATAAATCTTCTTGATTTAATCACGGTATTATTGAGACTAATATATCATACATTATTTGAACAATTCAAACGTGAGTTTCAATGATATTGTTATTGAATTGAGAAGATTCATTTCTATTATGGCGCTGTGAAGCAACTCTATCGACACAACAGCATCTTTGCCTAGTAGAGAAATTAATTTAACCGAAGAACATGGGCGGTCATGTATCAAAAGAATCAAGAGATTCCCTTAGAAACATGCGTGTAAAAATCCCTTGAATACAAAGTCTGGGCGATAGTAACAGACTTTTCATTGGCTTCAGATTACTCTGTAACAAAATAGCGGGACCAGTCGGTGTTGTCATATTCCCACTTCCAGTATTACGGAAAGAACCAACCAACTAACCCGTCGTGTTTTCTGCAAGATAATAAAATTTGGAACATTAATAGATAATCGAAAAATTGATGGAAAGGTTGCAACGTCAGTTTTACACTTCACAATGTCTGTACATTTATTCTTTATTACTTAATTTTAATTTTAATTCAATAATTTGAACCATAATGTGTATTCTTACCCGTTTATAGTAGATGAATGAAAGAAATAAATGTCTAATGAGAAAATCTCTATGTGAATTAATGCGCATATTTACTGCAATTACTACACGTCATAGCTTAACAACTAATATATAATAACATAATCACTAAAAATGAATGAAAATGATCGACGCTATTTTGCTTGGAGACGAGAAATCACTCACTGTATTCAAAGGGCTTTACACTGAGAACCCATTTAATTGAATCAACTAAATCCTTGTTTAACTATGGGCAAGCAAATCGTTTGTTTGCAATAACCAAAGTCTGCTTGTTAAACCGGAGATTTGGTTCTCTGAAGTTCCAAGTGAAGTTGCAAAGAACCAAACCTTTGGTTCCGAGAACTAAACCTCGGTTCTTCTAACCAAGAAATTTGTTCGCCCACCGTCAAACAAGAATTTAGTTGATTCGACTAAATGGGTTTTTCAGTGTAGCGTGTGCGCGGCGCGCCAAAGCGCCTTTGAATTTCCCGCCGTGCGGAAGTTCCCGCGAGGCGAGCGCCGGGCATCGCGCGACGAGCGGGAGAACGCAGGATCGATAAGAAGCGAGAATCGCGCGAGAGACGCATCATCCCGTTTTCGTTCGGTTTTGCCTGACCCCGGCGATGAGGCTTTCGCTTCGCGGGATTAGCCACGCGAGAAACATGTTTTCAGGAGAAAACAGGGAGCCGTTCGCTTGCGCGCCGAGGAACGGAATGCACGGCCGTTAGGGTTTGCACGCTCGAGAGAGAGAGAGAGAGAGAGAGAGCGCGATATCATCGTATCCATCGGCGGACTCGTTCTTTTGTCGTCGTCTCGGAGGAAAATAGACGCGCGTCAGTCGGGCCAATCAGGCAGGGTCGCGATAGGGAAAAGCTCGCGGGCGCAAGCGCTGCCGGGACGCTCACTGATGGCGCCACCTTCGTCGGTTCACCCCCGAAGCTTTCTCTCTTTCTCCTTGCCTCCGTCACCCTCCCTCTCTCGCGGTCCTCCGCCGTCGAGCTTTCGCCGTGCGCGCGGCAAGAGAGGAAGCAGGAGTCCGCGGGATTTTCAGCGGAGGCTCGCCGAGAACCGGTGAGTAAAGTCCTCGTGTTTCTCGCGGTACCTTCCCGACGAAGGGGGTAGCTCGGGCTCGGACGGGTATATATCGGAGGGTCTCTCGTGCAAGCTCGAGCCGGCTCGCCAGCGAGCGTATCGATTCGAGCCGGCGCTCTCGGGGCGAGTCCGCCCTCTCGTCGCTCCTCGTAAGCTCGCGCGAGCTCGCCGCCGTCTATTACAGCGCGCAGCTCCCGAGAGCCGGCTTCCCAGCGAAGGCTTCCCGGGTGAAGGGACTGTGCTACGACGAGGAGCGAGCAACAGTGCGCTGACGTAAGGGACGATCTCGACCGGCCATTACGCGCGTTCGGGCCGTTCGACGGTAGCGGCTGCTACGTGGTGCGCGTCGTCGCCGGGTCGTCCGCGCTCCCCAGGGGTGGTAGGTAGGTCGTTCGCTCGCTCGGTCGACCGAGTCGCTACCGGTAAGTGCCAGCAACCGTGCCGCCGATCGTCAACCTCGTCGTTGCGCGACATGTCGCAATCGTCGTCCGCGCGTCGCGTCGTCCTCGTTCGCTCGAGGAGCCGGGGAAAAGCGAAGAGATCGCTCGGGGGGACGAGGAGGGGCCGAGGGTGGCGAGTCTCTCCGACGGGATTCCCCGAGAGTGATCGCGAAGATGCTCCGGAGCGCGAGTAATCGCCGGCGAGAAATGGCCGCCTTCGGGGGCCGCTGTGACTATTATTAGAAGAGGCCGCGCGCCACGGATGCACGCAGAGACGGGCGATCTCAGGGCCATGATATTCGAAAAATCGGAGCAGTAAGGAAAGCGAGACCGGTCGGTCGATTGCTCTCCTCATCGGCCGTGGTCGGTCAATCCGATTCTTCTACCGCTTGCGTTCTTCCAAGTGTGCCCCGCGATAAGCGCAACAAGCCTTCAGCCTTTTGCTCGAAACAACGAAACGCAACGCAATTTCGGACGAAAGGCGTTTCCCGCGCTGACTAAAGCCAGACGACGCGGAAATCTTGAGGACTGCGACGTCCGATAGCGGCTGGAAACCGTGCTTCTCCCTAGAAATCACGTTATAATTTAATATGCCGAGAGCTTGGCGGAAAGCTCAAGTGGGGTCTACAAGTGAGAATTTAAGGCGCAAGACTTGAGAAATTGGCCAATCACAGTCGAATTACAGGGCGATTGTGATTGGTGAATTTCTGAAATCTTACGCCTTACATTCTGATTGTCAGACCTCGCTTAAATGATTATTACACCAATTGTGAATCCGGACTTACCGTTAATCGCCTCATGTCGACGACGATCAACTCGATTTTGCCCCGCCGATAACGTCGTCTACGATGTGAACGCGGTCGCCGAGACGTGATGCAAATTCTTCGCGAAGTAACGTCATGTTTGTCTCTCTCTCTCTCTCTCTCTCTCTCGGCCGGAGGAGGCGGATTTAATTAACACAGATTGAGGTTCAACGAGATGTTTGTCTGATCCGCTTCTTGCGCCACGAAATTAACATCGATCGGTGTACTCCGGTACAGCTTGTGCTCCGGTAGGTTGTTTAACACTGAACTCTCTCCATCAAGGCTCTTGCGGCGAATCTGAAAAATCGCGAACATTTTCAAATCTACGAGTGAATATTGCCAGATTAATTACGAAGATACACCCATTTGGTTGAATCAACTAAAAAATGGCTTTCTCAGTGTGACTATGAGAGATGTGTGCATTATCGGAGATAATTAATAGATAAAAATACGTGGAAAAATTAAATCCAGTTGCATTATTAATCAGAAAGAGGGGACAGCCAGGTGCGTTGGGGAAACAGAATTTCCGATTCTTGCGACCCAAGCGTGATTCTTATAATCGAAAACTTGATTTCCTTTAACTAAAACGCATCTAGTTGTTCCCCTCTTTCCGATTGACACAACCAAACTACTTTTCCGTGTAAGATTGAATTTTCCAGCAACTTGTAAATCCACCGAGAAATGGGCCGTTCGACGGTGATATTAGAAATTCAGTCAGCTCGGTTGATTTTACACCGTGAATAAAATCGAATAAAGAGAATTTGGAACAATCGGCCCGCCCTCCACCCGCTCGACTCGGTCCCTCGCGTCCGTCGGAGGCGTCGGTCGTGCGCGCTACTACTTTTAAAGCACCCTGTACACCGCACCTTGCACGTAGGACGAGATTGCTAGGGCAGCATCGTACACCCTTTATTGATCTAAAAGGCGGTCTCGCGGGACGGATTACCTGGGCAGCGACACGGTTCGGGTTCATCGGGGACGGCGCGATCAGCCCGCCAATCGAACCCGCGCGCGCGAATCGATATAATCGAGCCGTCGTCGTCGTTATATTTTTCTCTCTCCTTTTCCACTTCCATGTATATACGCGCTGCGGGATCGCAATCGCCATGCCGGCCGGGTAATAACCGCGCACACTCGATCCGATAGCACTCATATTTATACACGAGTCCACCGAGGGTTCACGAGCCTTGCGTGGGTCTCCTTCGAACGAATCAATACCCTTTTACGGCCTGCGAAAGGTCCTCCTGTTCGCCGCGCGCAGTCAATATTTATCGCCCTCTTAATATCCGATCAACGCGCCGCGTGCGAAACCGCTCGAAAGCTGCCATTTTTCATTCGAGACGACCAGCCGGTAATCGGCGGCGAAGACACGATTGAATTATCGGCATCGCTAATCCAGCCGGCTCACATTATATCGGCCCACATTATAGCGAGAGAGTCCACATTACTGATCGGCTAATTTAATATGAAATTTTCTAATCGGTGGTCCAGCGGAAAAACTCGCCAGCCGATGTGAGTGGACGCGCGCTAACCGGACCCTCGCGGAAATAATGGCTAATCTCGCTAAAGCTACAATTATTTTTGCGGCGTCAAACGTAAATTGTTATTTTAATGGAAGAATTGTTGAATAGAACAATACGCATATCGGGTCATTGATATTATAATAATAGAAAAAAAAGGTTCTCGCGACGATATAGTTCTTTTACTATACGGTTACAATTCGACGGAAGTAAAATGCTGATGGATCAATAGAGCTTCCGACAGCGTGCATAATTGGTGTAAATCTTCTTGATTCGATAACATTATACTAATATATCATGTATTGTTTTAATAATATCATTAAAAGATATTTCATTGAAATTATAGTCATTTACGGTCTCAACTGTATCTCATCTTCTGGTTTTAATTTAACAATAATAGCAGCAATATGTAAGATTATTATTATCACTGGCGTTATAATAACACTTATTAAAACTGGTTCTTTTAACTATAATTTTTTCACTTATGCAATTATTTTTGTTACGAATATCAAAACTTTCTTCCGTGTATTGAAGGATTTACTTCAATTACACGCATTGCTGGAAATTCTATTGATTCAACAGCGTTTTTTTTTCATGCACACAAATAAACTAGACACTTTGTTTCAATATATAATCAGTAAATATTTTTATCTCCTGACTACAATTCTTTCACTTATGCGCGACTATAGTTACAAACATTAAAACTTTTTTCTCAATGTATTGAAATCAAGATAAAATTTACTCCAATACGCGCCACTGGAAATTCGATTGATTCAACGGCATCTTTTCCGCCCCCGAGTACCAAAGATTCTTTTTTCAGTCAATTTTTCGCGGTCAGTCGGATGATTTTTATACAACTGACCTACAGGCGCAGTGATTAGATAATTTCCCACTGATGTGACGTCAATAATATAGAAATCACCTGGCAGGCAACAAAAAGTACGTGCAAAGTATAAAAATGTGAATGCCGATTGGCCAGGCCTGATTTGTACGAAGCGATGATACTATCGACATTGTTGCACGATTCAACATGTTTATAAATTATAATTAAAGGCATACGACAACGCATGACAAAGCTTCCGACCAATTATGTCGAGTCTTAAATATATACAAAATAGCATTAATTAAATATTTACATAGATGAATCATAGACATTCAGATGCACTGGTACTTACGTGACATTCAGCTGTATAACTATTAATTACAAAGGCCACGTGTGTCGCATTCACACGTGTGTGTTTACGCAAATTGTTATCACCGCTCACGTTGATATCTAAATTATCATTCTGTTCGACATCGGAATGTGCGAGCCGACCGTGAACGGTCGTTACTGTTTACCGTTTCTCCCCGTATATGTGGACGTGTAAGTAATACTTGTAAAACAATCTTAGAATGTCATTTATAGATGAATTCATGCGTGGACGTGCGATACTGGCTCGGAACGGTTCCCCTTGAGTCTATACAGCGTCTACCGATTTAGCAGCGAAGACGACCGGTCTATAGACGCTCATTGCGCCGTACAGTCTCGATATAGCGGGGAAACATGTCGCGCGCGGTATTAGATCACGTCGCTATGGCCATCAAATTACGAGATCGATCGCGACATATAAGCGGACATAACGCGTACGCTCTGAACGCGGTCCGCATTGAGAGAAATCCTGCTAAAATTACAGCCACTTTCAACCTCAACTATGCCTTCTTCTGGTTTTAACTCCTAAAAAGCAGCAGCAGCTACAAGCACGCAAGCCCAGTAGGCACCAACCAACAGTAACATTACATACGTTATAATTGTTGTTATAATGTAAACTCAACAATGTTAGTGCAATATAATACACGCATTGTGAATATGCAGAACAGTTATAATGTTGAGCAGGAAGTTATAATATTGTTGTAATATTACTGTTAGTTAGTGTTTACTTAGGAGGTTATCATTAGCAGGATTGGGTAATAATTCGTTATTAAAGTTAAAATTAAGTTAAAAAGTTAGTAACTTTTCACTTGATTAATTTTAAATAAGTTAACTTAAATTAGTTATTTTAAAACGCACGTTTTTTGTAAGTTAAAGTAACTTGTCAATATTAATATTATTGTCGGGCTGTTTACAACGTAGAGTAAGAAAAATAAAAAGTTATGCCAGAACTTTTTTCGTCTCTCTGAGTCCCAGTGTTCTCTTTTCGTGTGAAGTCCTGAGCACAAAACGGTATTTTCTTATGAATAACTACTTTTTTATTATTTCACACAAATTTAATATAAGGTTAAAAAGTTAATTATGCAAAAGCATATATACAAGTTGGTCCATTTAAATCGGGCATTTTAAATATTTCACTTGTTTTTGATGATACGAAAAAATATCTAAGAAAAAACTGCACCGTCCGAGAAAGCAATTATGATGGTAACGAAGTTTTTTTCAGTGATAATTGTCCGGTTTATAACACATATCCGTTGGCCTGGACTCTCAATTTAAATGCTCTAGACTTTTTTGTAGGGAATGTTGAAAAATATTGCTTATAACGATGTAACAACTACATAAGAGAACACGAGAGAGCGTCGATACATGTACGAATATAAATTCAGAAACGATAAAAAGGACAAGAGCATCATTTATGTATCGTATTCAAAAATGCATTGAAATCGGAGGATATCATTTTGAATACCTCCTTTAATAAATTTTTCTGTTGAAGCATATGTTTGATATTTCTGTTTTCTTCAAACATACGTAATTTTCATGTTTAAGATCATTTAAAGATCATGTTGTCATAGGTCGTTGAACTCCTTTCGATGTTGATTATAAAATTACACAAACAAAAATGTAGTTGTATTAAAAAAAAATTATCTTTATCTTGACCTTCAAATCTCTGAAAAAATAACTGTAAAAAATGTGTTTATCATCATAATAGCCCTTCAAACGATGTAACTTTTTCCTTAGACATTTTTTCATATCATCAAAAACAAATAAAATATTTAAGATACGCGATTTAAATGAATTACCCTGTATATGTATACACATGGCATA